GAGAGAGACGAGACGAGTAGAGAGAGAGTAGAGAGTACGAGACGACGAGAGAGACGAGAGTAGAGAGAGAGAGAGAGAGAGAGAGAGAGAGAGAGAGAGAGAGAGAGAGAGAGAGAGAATGAGAGAGAGAGTGCTATTATAGAGAAAATAAAGAATAGAAGAAACTTCATTCGTTATCTCATATTTATGCAACCCTAACACTAATAATGCTGATCTAAAGATGCCACGTCTTCCTTGGTGCTGTCGGATCGTACTCATAACCCTGACGCTAACCCTACCTCTAACCGCATCCCCAACGTAACCCCAATATTTTTGGGTTATATATATAACATTATAATATTATAATATAATATTATAATATATATAACCCTAACTCTATCCTAAACTACACCAGGAAGTTCATAGTTTTTGTACGCAGTTTACCTATGTTAACATTAATAGTGGCATTTCTCTGCGTCTTGCAGACGTAAGGGCGTGTTCGGTCCACCGCTCGGGAAGCAGTTTGTTTTCTTCATCGATGACCTGAACATGCCGGCGCTGGAGGTATATGGTGCGCAGCCGCCCATCGAGCTCATCCGTCAGTGGATGGACTTCAGGGGCTGGTACGATAGAAAGGCCATCGGTAGGGATCTACTCACTTATAGCGTGACTATATTTCCGTCTTCAGCCACAATCGTAGTAACGCCTTTGATAAAAAAAACCTATAATATAGTCATTCTAGCAGTTATAACTTTTATTCACGCAGATTTGTTAGTGCAAGTTTATGCATGCTAACGTATTATTGAATGGTTGGCACACGTTTATTTTTACAACCTCAACAGTAACTAAAACTTTCAGTAACTGGTTCTAATATAGGCTGCATATATAGTGTGCAGCAAACGTTTGTTTGTAATCACTATAAAAACGCTTAAGGTATATGGTTAGTGTAACGTTATGACTAACTCTTTGTTAATGTACGACAAAGTTTTGTATTAAATAAACGTTTATTTTCACCACCTCGCACCTTAGATAACGTTCAGTTACTATAGTTTGTAATTAATAGTGCTGTGCAGCTAACGTTGTTTCTAACCTATATATAACTCTTAGTTTATAAGTTTGATGAACGCGCGCGTTCTCTAGAAGGTAATTCCAACCAAACCAAAATAAAACCAGGGATCATAACGTTAGGAACGTTATGTTGTTAGCTAGGTATATTACCCAACATGAAGTGGATCGGTTAACACCCTGCATTGGCTAAATGGGTATGCTGCTTCAACGACTGTAGATCCAAGGGACTCTATTAATGATATAATGACGATTTGGATTCTGGCTGCTCAATCGACTGGCCAATCTTAACATTGACCGATGCAGTCTTTCAGCGCGCGCCCTTGACAAATCTGTCTTGGATCAGGGTCTCAATTACTTGTGATCAGTTTAAATCAGCTCTTGATTGCGATTTGTCGGATCGGATCTTGAACTCTTGTTGATCAATCTGCGATCAGTCTTAATTTGCTTGTTGAATTGGTCTTGGATCCAGTCTCGACATCTTGCTGATCGGTCTGGATCAGTCTGATTACTCGTGATCAGTCTCGATTTGCCCTTGTCGATGCCTTAGGATCGCGTCTCGAGTTGCCTTAGGATCAGTCTGATGCTTAGGATCAGTCTCACATTGCTTAGCGATCAGTTTGATGCCTTAGGATCAGTCTCGATTGCTTAGGATCAGTCTTGATGATCAGTCTCGATTGCTTAGGGATCTCAAGTCTCGATTGCTCGTCGATTGCTTAGATCAGTCTCGATTGCTGTCGATTGCTTAGATCATCTCGATTGCCTTGTCGATTGTCTTAGGATCGTCGGTCTCGATGCTGTCGATGCTTAGGATCAGTCTGATTGCTTGTCGAATTGCTTATTAAGCCAATCGACAAGCAATCGATGTGTTCGATCGCTTTGGCATTGCTTAAACTTTTTGTAAGGGTATTTGCCAGGCGCTATTAAGCAAATATGTTAATGAACATGTAATACGCGGCGAGTCGTTTTTTTGATGCTTCTTCTCTCCTATATATAATATCTATTAAATATTATCCTCCCCCTCTGCCTCTCTCTCTACACACACACATATATTATATATATATATTATATATATAATATATATATATAATATAACGCATTTTATTATTTTATTACGGTTCGATCATGTCTGCTCTGAATTGCTGATGAAGAAATGTATACATATAGAAAGCTCGCCGTATTAAAACTTAAACACCCTTAACTCCTTACTATTTGAATTGCTTGATATATATATAAGTATCCAAGTATATACTAAAGTTATATGGAATTAATCATAACTTCTATATATTTCATTTTCATTATTTTTTCATTTTCATTTTAATTTTATTTCATATTTCATATATTTCATTTTATTGGAGATATATACTAATTCCCATCAACTCGTTGGCTAGCTTAGTTAATATATGTATACTATATCATATATATACATTAATATATATTATATCATCATCATATTAAGTATATACAAGTTATCCAGTATATCATTATTATATACTGGATTAATTCATTATTAAAGTTGTCTGCATATCGCGCAAGCGTGAACTCTGACGTAACCGCAAAAGTGATGTCTTGTGTTTAATTTCTACAATTATGCCGGCTCTGGCCAATTAAATGCCATGAGCACTCTCACCAGTGTAGACCAAAGCATCAGATGTATATATATATATTATGAGAAAGAGAGAGGAAACAGGAGGGAGAAGGGTGAGTTTACTGTTTAATTTACATTTTAATATTTTTTGTTGGCGCAACAGCGAAGACGAGCAGAGATATAGGAGAAGGAAGGCACGAGAAGCGAACCACACACACGAGAGAGGAGGACCGAGAGAGCAGAGCCAGAGAGAGGAGAGGAGAGCGAGAAGAGAGAACGAGAGCAGAGAAGGGAGAGACGAGAGAGAGTGTGAGAGAGACAGACAGACAGAAGAGGAAGGACGAGAGAGAGGGGAGAGGAGACGAGCGCCTGCGAGAGAGAGAGAAGCTGAGACGATCAGACAGACAGACAGAGAGAGAGAGAGAGGAGTAGAGGAGGGAGAGAGAGAGAGAGAGCAGAGAGAGAGAGAGAGAGGAGAGAAGAGAGTTGAAGAAAGACAGACAGACAGAGAACATTGAG